GATTTAGCCTCACCACCCTCCCTCCCCACCTAAAAGTGGCCCATGGTCACTGCATGCAGCCTGGGACCTGACCCACCAGCTCCCTGGACTACCTGCAACCTCATGGGCTTGTAAACTGTGTCTCTCTCCTTTCTGTGCACTAGGCTTAAATGCCTCCCGAGACTCCCTCTTTCCCTTCCACCGCAATCAATCACCTGGATGTTTGTGTTGTATCTTCCAACTTTATCCTCCACACCATCCCTCCTTCCTCGGCGAGAAGTCCACACCAGTCCCCCAACCCTCCTGGCAGATGAGGGCACCACAGCGCCTGCAGAGGAGTGCCTGGGGCCAACAAGAGCAGGAGGAATCTGCATGGAGCTGCCTGTTCCTCCTGGTCAGGGTGGTGGGCCACCGTCCCCTTGTGTGCCCTCACCTCCCCACCTGTCCTTGCACAGCCCTGGGGACCAAGCCTGCAGGGGATTGTCTTCAGGTGTACTGACTCCACCATCATTAGACATCCTGAACCCTCATAGCTTGTTCCCTCCATCTCTGCAGAGGCCAGGATGGAGTTGTGAAGATGGGAGGGCTGTTTAGGGACACAGAGGCCTAGCCTTGGCAGGACTGTTGTGTGCCCAGTTACTTTCTTCCCTGTAGGCATAGCTGATGTTAGTGCCCTGTAGTGAACCTGCGCTGACCACCTATGAGTTGGGCTCTACCTGCAGCACAGGACAGCCTCCATCTTGCTCTCCTCCTCCCTGCTGAGCTCTGCAGCGTAGGGCCAGCATGTGGATCTCTGCAGGGCATGGGGATGGAGGGTGGCCCATAGCTACTGCACATCTGAGCTAGGATTGGGGGTGACAGCCAAGGGCTGTGCATCAAACAGGGACATGCTAGGGCATGTGTGCTTAGTTGCCAACTCCTCACCTGATACTGTAGCTGAATTTCTTGCTTGGTGGTGGTATGGGCTGCCTGTTGCTCCAGGGTTGTTGGATGTGTGCCCTGAGAGAAGAAGAGGTGAGGGTGAAGCTATATGCTATTCCTTGGAGGCAGAGGGAAGAAGGGTGGGAGGAGAGCAGAACTCTTCTGCAAGCAGTTAGAAGTGGTTGAGATGGAGAACAGGCTGGTTTGAAGCAGAGCAGGTGAGAGAAAAAGGAGGTGCAGAGAAGGATGTGAGGAAAGGAAGAGCTGGGGCTTGGGGTATTCCAAGCATGAGTGGGAGGTGAGCTGGCTAAAGGGGGATTTCTGCAGGAGGCAAGGCTTTCCAGGGAAGAATGGGCCACATTGCTCAGGGAGGAGTTCTTGAACACAAGACGTGGCTTATGAGGTGTGGCCCTTGGGATTGTGACTTGCTGTCCTTCCTCATGTAGAGGGCAGGATTGTCACTCTGTGGCTGCCAGGGAGGCAGTGCTGCCCTGGGCTTCTGTGGGGGTGGCTCAGTGCCTCTGATGGGACTTCACCAGAGTGCTGTCAGTCACTGCTGGAGAAGGGGATGTTTCCTAAGGCCTTGAGCCTCATGCCCTCAGATGCACGCCCTTGGATGCACACCCTCATCCTACCTCCTATGAGAGTTGAGCCTGGGGAGGCTGCAGGCAGCGGGACAGAGCCCACAGGCCAGCGCAGGATTTTCCCCCCTCCCTTATTTATTTAAGTAGGTAGTTTCTCTCATGCTAGTCATCTGGTAGGCTGTAATAATAAATGTGCTTATGTCTGTCTGGGCCTGGCTTTCCTGTGGTGATGCAGAGGCCTCGGGGCACTCGCATACTGCTCTCCTGGGAGCTGGTGCTTGCTGAAAGGAGATCTAGGGCCATGCCTTCCCTGCCCCTCTCTCCTACTGCTGCTCCATGCTGTTGGAGCGTGGTGAGTCCCCAGAGCAGGGCACGTTCAGGCCTCAGCACCACCTGCCTCTGCTTTGCCTGCCATGGACCTGGTGCTGTAACAACTGTACCTGTGATTAAAGGGAGACAGACCTGAACCGCTGCCCTGTGCTTCTTTCCATGCTTTGTAGGCCAGCATCGGTCAGCCCTGGGGCGGTGGGGGCAAAATGCTGCTGGATCAGGTGTGGGTGCTCAGTGTCTGTGTGTATGCAGGGGCATGTGCTGCTGTGTGGGCGGTATGGGCGCATCTCTTCTGGGCTGAGCGTTGGAGCAGAAGGACACAGCTCCCTGCCTCAAACTGGGGTTGCTTCCAACCATAGCTCTGCAGTCACATTGTAGGGCTGACATGGAGCATCTGAGGCTGGTTCTTTCTCAACTGCTGTTTTCATTAGCCAGAAAAATACCCCACGGTGTCCTCTGGTGCATGCTCTTAAATCCTGCCTGAGTCCTTTGCCCCCATGCAGAGACAGAGTGGGAATGTGCAGGGGAGAGTGACTCAGTGCTGAAGCTGCTGCTTGTGCTTTGAGTGCTCTAGTCCTCGTGGGTGCAGTGAGGTGGGTGCTTTGCGGTAAACCAAGCGCCTTCCATGTTCTGGGTTAAAAATAACCTGCAGAAGAGGGAGTGGGGAGAGAGAGAAGGCTATTTTTAATCCAGCATGCAGCAGAACTTGGTTCTGGCATTGAGCTGCAGTTAGCCTGCATCACTGTAGCTGGGCAAGTGCGGCTCTGTTCACCACCCCTGACTGTAGAGCTTGCTTGGGCCCTGGGCAGCTTCTTGCTGCCTCTGTACCACGGTCCTGCTCCACTGCCCCAGCAGTGCTCCCTTTTCTACCTCTGGCTGCTGTATCCTGGCAAAAAGAACAGAGCTTGACATGGCAGTACCCTGCCAGGAGGGTGGTGGTAGCACAGGGGCTAGTGGTGGCAGGGCTCTTTTTCTTCTTCCCTATCCCCTACTATGGTAGTGCCATGCTGATGGATGGCTCTTCCAAAACCTGCCGAGGATGCCTGCTGGAGGAGCTGAGTGCTTGCCTTGCTAATGCTGATGGTGCTTTCTGCATTCCTGGTGCGTGGGTGCCTTGCTGCAACAGCACACAAATCCTAGTTTGGAAGCCCTTTGCTTTCTCATTACCACAAAGAGGCTCATTTGGTTTATCCGGGAACAGATGAGACCAGAATCAAGAGAAAGGTTTGCTGGTAGGAAACATCTTGTTCACGTAATAGGGGAGTCTAGGGCTGGATCAGCATTGGGTAACCAGAGCAGGGAAGTGTTTCCCTGGTGCTAGGGTGGTTCCTGGAAACCTGGGAAAGAGCAGGAGGGGCCTTAAGGCAGAGCCTGCAGAGCTGCACAAACAATCCTGGGGCTCTGGCTTCTGCTGGCCTAGGCCAGGGGGCATTCTGCTCGTGGAGACCATATAAAAGGGTATCACACTTGCTCGTAAGGAGCAAAGGTCTTTGGTGCTTTACCTCCATTTTCTTTTGCCTCCTTGGGCCGGGAGAGGCAGCCCTTGAGGCCAATAGGACTGACACAGAGGAAGACTGCTGTTAGCAGATTATAAGAACAAAAGCAGTCCCTCATCAGCAGTGATGTTGCAGCCTTCCATAAGGAGGTTCGTGGCTGTGCAGGAGAGCTTGGTGATGGTGGCAGAAGGTGGCCTCACACTGGCAGCATGTGCTTTGTATGCGTGGAGTGAGTCCAGATGGGCTGGAGCCTGGCAAGGGCTGAGTGCCCTGTAAGGGGCCCTAACAACAGCCAGACAGAGGAGCAGCGCATCCCCTGTGGAATGGAGCTGCCTGCACTGCTCAGCAACTACAAAGATAATTGTTTGAGTCTTGGGGGGGCTTTCAAGGTGGGCTGAGTGTGTATGGGTGTGCAAAGTGGTGCTGCCTGACACGAGTGGAGCTGTGAAACCAGCAAGCTGGAACGAGATGAGCGCTGCGTGGAGAGAATGGCACTGATGGAGCAAGGAGGGGAGTTGAGCCTGGTCTCCATATTGGGAAGAGAGTCTTTGAGGCAAGTGACCCAGCAGCACATCCTGTCCCAACTAAAAGTATCCCTAAGCGTGGGGCTTCCCACCAGCACCTGCTCGGACCTCCTCATAGCTGCCAGCTGAGCCGTAGGAGACGGAACAGGGCTGGGGCTGCCTGGTGCGGCCTGGTTCACAGCACACTAGAGCTTCCTACGTGCTGCTCAGTCCTCGCCCCCCGGCTTGTGTCTCCGTCTCCAGGACGGCAGCGGTACCCTCCAGCGCAGCAGCTCCCTGGGGAAAATCCGGGATGTGATCCGGCGGAGCAGTGAGATGTTGGTCAAGAAGCTGCAGGGCAACGGGCCCCTGGAGCCCAGGAACACCAGGTAGGGGCTACGGCCTGGGTCCCGCCGGGCCGGGTGCCGCTGTGGGATCGGGCATCAGACGACGACGCTTCTTCTCTGCTTTCTCGTAGCATGAAGCGAGCTGCCTCGCTAAATTACCTGCACAAGTCTAGCGACGCTTCGTTCGAGGTGAGCGGCGGAGCGGGAGCTGGGGGGCCCGGCGCTGGGGGCCCGCGCTGACACACGCCGTGTTTTTCAGGGTACCCAAGGGCTCCGCGCAGAGAGCAGAGGCCTCAGCGCCAGCAGCATGGATCTCTCCTCCCACAGCTCCCTGCTCGCTTCCAACTGAGCGCCCGCGGCGGCTCGCCGCAGCTTTGCGCTGCGCGGGGCAGCGCCCGGCCCCCTCCCCGCCTCCACCGCTCCGTTCTCCTCACCGCGGGCTCTCGGACCGCCCTTCGCCGTCCCGCCCCGGGCCGGGGGGCCGCGGGGAGCCCCTAGCTAGTTTGGGAAGCGCAGCCCGCGCGCGCGCTCCCGGCCCGAGCGAGCGGGGGCCGGGCGGGTAGGGGGGCGCGGGCCGCCGCCGACTGACGGCGCCGCGCCCGGAGCACCGCCACGCGCCCCCGCCGCCCGGACCGCCGCACCGCCACCGTCGCCCGGAGCGCGGGGCCGCCCGCAGCACCGCCCGGCATCGCCCGCCCGGGGGCGCGGCGGGGAGGGGGCACGGCCCCGCCGCGATCCCGGCTCCCCTCGGCTGCTGTATGTTATTTTATGAAATAAAGCCACGACCCTCCCCGTGACGCCGGGCGCTCCTTGGGGCGGCGGGGGGCCGCGCGCGGGGCTCGGGGGCGGGGAGCGATGACGACGGCGGCGATGACAGCGCCGTGACGCCCCGGAGGGCCGTTCCCTTCCGGAGCAGGGCGGAGGGCGATGGCGCGCATCACGCTGGAAGACCTGGACAGGCTGGGCGACGAGGAGGAGGAGGAGGAGGAGGAGGAAGGGGGGGAGGACGAGGAGGATGAGGAGGAGCGGGGCCGGCTGTTCGCGCACTGGGAGGCCGTGGCCAGCACGCACCGGGTGAACCTGCCCCGAGGTGAGCGCCGGGGGAGCCCGGCCGAGGGGCGGCCCGGACCGGGGGGTGCCTCCGTGCCTCCATCCCCGGCCCGCCGCCCCCGCGCTGCGCTTTGCCTTGCAGACATGGCGGGCCCCATCGTCCAGATGAGCCGGCACAGACAGACGCGGGAGGCCGTGCCCCACGTCGCCCTGTCGCAGCACGGCAAGGTGAGGCGCGAGGCCCGGCCGGGCACGGCGCTCTCCGCCCCGCTTCTCCGCTCCCGCTGAGCCCGCGCCGCCCCGCTCCCGGCCGTGGAGCCGCCGGGCCGCGCCGCCGCACCGGGGTCGGCCTGCGCGGGCGGCTGCGTGCGCTGCGCTGCCTGCGGGAGAAGGGAGGGCTGGGCCCGCAGTGCGCCGTGCGGAGCTGGGTGCCAGCGTAAGAAGGACGTGAAACCACTCGAGCGTCCGGAGGAGGGCTGCAGGGATGGGGAAGGCTCTGCTTGAGGAGCGCTGATGGCCCTGGGTTTGCTCAGCGCAGAGCAGAGGAGCTGAACCGCCCTCCCAGGGAGCGGAGGGCAGCGCTGAGCTCTGCTGTCTGTGCGGCAACAGGGCTGAGGGAACGGCACGGAGCTGTCAGGGGAGGGCAGGTGGGGGTGAGGGAAAGGCTGTGCCCCAGAGGGCAGTGGGCATGGCCCCGATGCCGGAGCTCAGGGAGCACTGGGACACTGCTCTGACACTGGGGTGGGGGTGCTGTGTGGGAAAGAGTTGGGCTCGGTGATCCTTGGGGTCCCTTCCAGCTCGGGATGTTCCCTGATTCTGCAGTTCTGCTTGTCAGACTGAGCATGTTCTGTGTGTCAAAACTGCTGATCCAAACCTGGTGGCTTCTGCCTGAAGATCTCCCGCTCTTGCTAAATTGCACACCTCCGCTAATCTCTTACACAAAAAGGTGCTTTGAGAAATAACTGCAAAGAAGCGCTCGTCAGACTGGTTCTTGTGTCTCTGCAAGCTTGGTTGGGCTCGCTACCAAGAAGATATCTGTCAGTTGTCCTCTAGATGAGGAGAGCTTAACCAGTTTCTTCTGGGCTGAGGTCCAGCAGTGCTGTCTGTGGAACACGTCTCAGCATGCGGGTTGTGCAGCTCTGAGCTGGGCTGCTCCACGCTCCCTCTTTCCTGCCCTTCTGGGTCCCAGGGCTTAATCTGGGCTCTTCTGTACCTCCCCCATCGTGGGCAGGATTGCAGCCCAGCACTCCATGGTGCCTGAAGACCTTCTATTGCCAATGGCACCTCCACTGTGATTGAAGAGGATTCTTGGAGTTAAGCTCTCGGGCTGGACGAGGAGATGAGAGTCACCTCCTGGCACGAGTGCAGGGGCATTCAAGCTTGGGCCCTTGTGGACACATTCCCCAGGCTTGGGCGGGTGGTAGAGCTTGGTGGCTTCTCCTGAGCTTCATGCCATCCTCTTTGAAGCACCCAAATAACTGCACCACCTGCAGAGCCTTGCTGACCTTGGCACTCAGCATCAGAATCCCCACCCCACATGGCAGGGACCTGTTGCCGCCAGGTACAGGTGAGGCATCATCACTCTTTCTCTTGCCCAGGTCTCATCTTCTGGAGCAGTGGTGGGTCAGTGTAAGGGGCAGGCTGCGGGAGGACCCAGCACTGTGCCCTGCTGGATTCTCAGATGCTGTCATGATGAGAATTAGACAGTATTTAACGGGCTTCCCTGTCTGGCAAATGCTGCTGCTCCGCTTTGCTTGGTGGGATGTTGGCAGGCATGGCTCCATCTGGAGGGTGACTCCCTGCTCTCTTGTCGGGCTTCTCCAGAAAAGCGAGCATCTGTCATGAGCTTGAGACCCATTTCGCAGCACTGTCTGTTCCCTTTGCACCAGCTGCGCTCATGTCTCTTCGTCTTCATGCCTCTCCTTGGTATGGGAGAAGGATCCAAGAGGGGCTTTGTTCCAACCATCTCAGCCCCTCCTTCCTCCTGTGCTGCTTGTCGTCCCACACGCACACAGAGCTCCAGTGCTGCGCCCCGGGATCCACTCAGCCCTCCTGGAGGCCTTTGGGTGCCCGGAATCAGGAACATCCTTGTGCATAGGCAGGACAGTGACGGCGTGGAGCAGAGTCCTGCACTCCCTGCTGAGGATGCGCTGCATTCCGTGTGCATGCCAGGAGCCTCCAAGCCTCCCCGCTCCCCGTCCCATGTCTGTGCTGTCCCTTTTGCTGACTTCGCTGCCTGAGATGTGTGTGTGACACCAGCTCCCCTCGCATTCTCCGGCCTCCCGTGTCAGCAAGGCCCATCTCCCCGCTTCCCGCTGATGTGCCCTTGTCCTGTGGCCTGTTTCAGTGCGAGGAAGCGGCCTACGAGGAGCGGCAGTACCCAGCTGGGAAGTGGGCCTGTGTCACCAAGGGTGAGCCCCTGTATGAGCAGAGCATCTCCCTGAGCTTCATGAAGCTCATGCGCTACATCTGCAAGGAGAACTCTGTAGGTGTGTGCAGGCAGGACCGGAGGGGCCGGCGGGGGGAGCGGGGTGGGGGGTCCGCACTGCCAGCCCAGCTGCCTCACCGTGCCCACCACCTCCTGGCAGGTTGCTATCTGGGCATGACCATCCCTGTGCTCAATGAAATCCACCTGACCAAGGAGGGGACCGAGCTGGAGCGCGAGGTGCTCACTGCCTACTACATCCCGGGAGAGTTCCAGCAAAACCCTCCCGCCCCCATGGACCCCGAAATCCACATCACTGAGAGGGCACCGCTCCGGGTGATAACCAGGTGACCGTGGGGCTCCATGGGCAGGGGCTGTGCCGGCAGCGAGCCGCCCCGCCGCTGACATTGCTCCCCTTGCCGCAGGGTGTTCTACGGGGTGACCACCGAGGAGACCATTCTGCGGGAGATCGCTCTCTTCTGGGAGCTCCTGGGTTCCACGGATGCCGTACTGCAGGAAACCTACATCGTGGCAGTCTACGAAAACCCCAGCATCCCTCAGCGCCGCAACGAGATCTGGTTCATCCGCCGGGCAGAGTGAGGCCCCGCTGCTGCGCCGCGCTACGCTTGGAGAGCTCTGACCTGGAGGAGACGGCCACGCGCCCTCACCCACCGCTCACCCACACACCCAGCCGGGGCACCCAGCCGGCACGCCGCACCAGGCGGTGACTGAGGGCTCGCCCTGCTGCGCTCCTCCGGCCCCGGGCGCGGGCTGCGGGCTCGTGCCGGCCGTGGGGTGTCCAGGTGCCAAATGGCCGCCCGCGAGGCGTCGGGCTCCGCGTGGGCCTCCGCGAGTGCTGCACGGAGCCGCCGGAGTGCTGCTGCGGGGACAGGGGGTCCGAGGGGAGAGGGCCGGTTGCGGGCACGGTCGCCCGGCAGCCGGGAGGGACGGGTGCCACGGTGCCAGGCGGCACCTGGAGCAGCGCGCTTCCCCGGGGGAGGCCGGCGGTGCCAACCCAATAAACCCGCTCACACCGCTGCGGCCGTGGGTCCCTTGCTGCGGGGAGCGGGGAAGCCGCGGGAGAGCCTCGGCGGGACCCGCTTCCAACTTCCACTCGAGGCTGCCCCGACCCCGGCCGCAACCGCAGCGCTGGGGTTCGGGCGGCGGGAAGCGGCGGTTTCCCCGCGGCGGCGGCGGCCGGGGCTCGGCGGCCTCGCGGGCACGGGGCACACGTGGGCCGGGGGGCAGCCCCTCCGGCAGACCCAACGGAGGGAGGCGCTCCCCTCCCTCCCCGGGCCCCGCCCGGTTTCCGCCGCCCGGCCCTCCCCCGGAAGCCCCTCCCGGCGGCGGCGGCGGCGGGCGGGGCGGCGGTAGCGGCATGGCCCGGGCGCGGGGCGCGCTGTGAGCGGCGCGGGGCGAGGATGGCGGCGGTGCGGGCGCTGCTGCTGCTCGGTGAGTGCGGGCGCGGCGCTCCGGCAGCCCGGGGCTCGGCTCCGCGCGGCGCTGCGGGGGCTGCGCGCCCCGCCCGGGGAGCACCGCGCTGGGGGGTGGGCGGTGGGCAGCGCCGCGCTCCGGGGGCGCCTCGCTTGTTGCCGGGCCGCGCGCTGCCCGCAGCGGGTGGCACCGCGGCCCGCAGGGTGTGCGCGGCTCTGCGCGGCTCTGCGGTCCGAGCAGCTATTCGCTGAGTCGACGCTTCTGGAGAGGCAAAAAATCCCGAACGGAGATGCCCTTCTGCCGGGGCCTCCGGCTCCTAAAGGAGAGAACCTCCGAGAAGAGGAGCGAGCGGATGAGATCCCGGCGTTAAGGCGCTTGGGCGGCTCTGCTCGCTGAGCCCGGGCTGCCATCTGTCTCCCGGCGCTCCGCCGCCGTGGGGATGCTGCGGCTGCCGCGCTGTGCCGGTCCCCGTGTGTCCCCGTGTGTCCCTTTGGCGGTGGGCGCACGGCCCGGATCTCGGTCCCCCGCGGCCACCGAACGGAGGGAGGGAGAGGGGAGAGGCAGCGGGCGGCCGGGCGCTTCACAAAGACGCGAGGGCGGTGAGGCCCGGCTGCGGGTATCTGCCGGGGGGAACCTGACACTGGTATTTTTCTTTCCTTCCTTGCCATTCATCTGCTGGTCAAGCCGCGGAGATCAAAGCCGTCCTCCGGCAATTACACGTGGGCCTAAGTCAATAGCCGGACCCACACCTCTCTCCGTGAATAAACACTCCTTCCTCTCTGAGCGTTTCCAAGCGCAGCCCTCAGAGCTGGAATGCGAACTATTCCGCGGAGCAGCGGGTGTTTCCACAGCCCTCCAGGTCCGGCGGCTCGGAACAACCGCGCATTTAGCAGCGGGCGCGGGTACAAACGTGCCCTTTGTGAGCGCGGGGAAACGCTCCCCTCCTCGGGTCGGAGGACGGGCGATTGTTGATCGGGACCCCGGGGAGACGCCCGGGGAGCGGGGAGCATCTCCCGTCTGCGATCCGTGGGCTTCGGGGCCGCGAAAGCAGTCGGCACCGCGTTGCTTTTGGGGCACCGGGGTGGTCCGCTGCCACGTCCTGTTCCGTGCCCGCGGGATGTTTGGGGGCCGTCCGATTGCCGCTCGGTAATTCCGTGCTCCCGCTCAGGAAGCAGATGTTATCTGGTGCCGTGGGGCTGCAGCGCGGCGTGCCTCGTGCCCCGGCGTGCCCGGGGAGCGGTCCTGCAGCCGGGCTGGGAGGATCGCTGCTCCGTGGGAGAGCCGGTGGGCGGCAGGTGAGGCTGCTGTGGGGCGGCAGGCGCTCCGTGTGGCTGCTGTGAGGTGTGGAGGTGTCCCCTGTGAGCCTGCAGCAGTGCGGGCATGCGGTGTGTGCGGGTCAGGGTGCTGCCCGTGGGCATGGGTTGATGGTTGGATGTGACGATTTCAGTGGTCTTTTCTAACCTTAGCGATTTCGTGATCTGGATTGTGCTGTCCAAAGGTTTGTCCACACTCCCCTTCAGCACGGGATGGGGATGAGCCATTGCTGGCCCCAGAGGTCACAGCAGGGACTCCATTTTGGGCCGTGCCTTTGTTTGGGGAAGCGCTCGGCAGCAAGTGCCATCGCCGTGTCTCTACCTGTGCTTCCTTCCCATCTGTGCATCCCCTGCCGAGGAGCCGTGGAAGATCCTCAAGCCAAACACAAGTGCTCTTTGTTTCAAAGCATCAATTTGTGTTGGCAGCCAGGTCTGCAGCGCATGTGCTTTTCATTCACTGCTGCTCCAGCTCCGTTCCTCACTCTGAGTGCCAACATTTTTTTAATTTTTTTATTTTATTTTATTATTTGATACAAAAATGTTTTTCCTGAGCTTAAAAGGCTGAGCCGTGCAGTACTTCTGGTCTCAGTGTAAGCCTTGCCATTTCTTGGAAGCACAATCCTTGGCTGTATGTGGAAGAGACAGCTCTCCTGTCCTATGGGAGGTGACCGATGCATGCTGTCCCAGCAGCAGGGAGGGAATGGGATCTCAGAGCAGCTTGCAGCTTCCAAGAGCCAAGGCAGTGGAGTCTACTGGCCTCCCTTCGTGTCAAGCAAAGCCCTGGTTGTACAGAGCAGGCTTCTGCTGAGTTTTGGGTGCTTGTGGGCTGGGGTGTGCTCTGAGTACCTTCATTGAACCCATGATGTCAGGCGGTGGAGACTTTGGTGAGGCCGGGACAGGTTATGGCAGCCTTCGTGTCCTGCAGGGAAACTGGTATGGGCAGACTCCTGTCTGGGAAACCAGGTGGCACAGCAGCTTTTGGCTGTGTGAACCTTCAGCTCTGGTGAACAAGATGGTGTGGGCTGGGAAAAGCAGCAGCACTCCTGGGGCTGGTGATGGGACTGGGAGCTCCTTCAGGACGAGGGACGTGGTTTAGTGGGCACGGTGGTGATGTGTTGAATAGAGTACCTTAGAGATCTTTTTTAACTGTAATGGTTCTGTGACTCTGTGGCACGGCTGGGATTTAAGCGACTTCTTTTCAACTTCTATCCTAGAGGACAGGAATGCTGCTGGGTGCAGCTCAGGCCAGCCTGTATAGTGCCAGTGCAGTGCCTGCAAGCTGTCACTGCGGTCCCACCAGCTCTGTACCCAACACCTAAAGTGTGATCGGCAGCATGGAGAGCCCAAGCCTCCTCCTGGCTGCAGAGGGGAAGGCCTATGTGCCGGTGGGCAGCTCGGGCTGGGCTGTCTTCTCTGTCAAACACCATGCTGGCACAAAATAGGCACAGTGTTGCTTAAGACCTCAGATAAACACTTTCCTCATTAGGATGGTTTGTTGGCTTCTTCAAGAGCACAAAGAAAGCCTTTGATTCCGAAACATACAGCGACTTTCCAAATGGTTAAAGGCAGGACAAGCTGTGGCTTGCAAGTGCCTTTGTTGCTCTCCATGCAGCGTGCTTTGGTGTGTGTCCCTGCAGCCCCAGGGAGGTCCGCTGCCTGCTCTGTTGCAGCCACCAGCAGTGCCCGTGTCAGTGGGAGGAGAGGTGGTGTTCCTCGTCTTTCCCAGCAGGAACAAGAAGGACAACCAGCTGCCTGGTAGGGCTCCGTGCAGGGCTGCGCGTGCAGCTCTCCCACACCATCCCAGAGCAGAGAGGAGTTTGTGCTGCTGAGGAGAGTCATTAGGTTGCCTTGCTGGCTGCAGCTGCCCTGGAGAGGGGCCAGGGTGGATAGTCGTCTCCAGCAGCTGAAGATTCGTGCAGATCGTTGCAGACCAAAGAAAACAGAGCTTCCTGCATGTTGCTCATTGTTTTCCTTGGTTCCTCTCCCGCTTTACTGCTTGTCGTGAGGACTGGAAGCCTGGGAGCATCCTGAGGTGGTAAGTGCTCTGAGAAATGCCAGTCCCCAGGATGAGCCTTCTCCTGTAGCCTCACGATGGCTGGATGTCAGCCAGGCATCTAGAGGGCTCTGTGTCCTCCAGCCAGGTTCAAACGGATGTTTAGCCACCAAGTTCCAAGTGAAAGGCTAGCTATGGAGATGACAGCTGTGATTTCTCCATCGGGTTAACTACTGAGTGCTCTCCTGTTGCCCAGCTCTGAGCCATGGTGTCCACATCCACTCATAGCATCTCTTGTGTCTTCTGGAGCCAAGCCACCACTGGTGGGGAATGAGATACCAGAGCTGGGCTGCTGAGGCTGTTAGGGGATTGCTGGAAATCACAGAGATCTTTAGGATAGAAATTCTGGGCCTTTCTGTAATTTGGCGCTTTGCATTGGGTGTATCTGCAGCAAACATTCTGCATAGTTATTGATTTGTGAGAGTACTCCAGAAAGTGCCCTGCTTACATCATCTTCCCACACGGTGACTTTTCTCCATTTTTAGCAGAGGTAATGTAGCAGTGTTTCATAGAGAAACTGCCTTTTAATTAATATTATATGAGCACAGGAAATACTAGCTTCTCTGTCTACTTACCTATTTCTGTGGCTTTTAATATAGGTTCATAATTGGTCCTGATGAAAATAAATACGGATCTGTTCCTTTCTGTTCCCTCTGCCAATGGGGAAAGAGAAGGAGCGAGATGAAGCCTGCAGTCCTGCAGGGTGTGGTGAGAAGCAGGTATGGGGAGCTGTGGGTGATGCTTCATGCCCAGGAGGCAGGCAGAGTGACAAAGAATGAGAATGAGCACGCAGTGTGTGGCAGTCTGTGTTGATTAGTGTCCCTACAATGCTTGTGAGCCTGTAGGAACAGGAGAGGCACCCCCGCAGCCAGTGAAGCGGGCCCCTTTCAGGTCTCTCCCCAGTGGCCTTTTGGCAGCTCCGTTTGTCTCCAGTGCTGCTGGGAGGATGGGGCATGTTTTGGCTGCTGGGAAGAGCTGGTGTGTCGTCGGGAGTGCCTTTCCCAGGAGCTTTTCTCGCCTTTGAAGGGGAGAGGAGCAAACAGGTCAAACCTGCATGAAACCAAGTGGAGAAGCAGGATGCTTCAGAGGCTCGCTCACCTCAAGCTGGACCCATGGCACAGCCTGGGCTCCAGCCTGACTTTGACTCCATCCCTCCACACTCTCCTTTTGAGGCTGAAGGGATGGCTCTGGGTGGGCTTAGAGCCCCAGTATATGCCATTCACTTACAGGGGATGGCAGAATGGGGGGGGATGCCAGGGTGTTTCCTTGTGCTGGCTTCAGTGCAAGTTCTTGTCTGCACCTCCTCCTGGTCAGCCCCTCAGCTGCTGTCCCCTTGTTCTTTTGCTCCTGGGGTGCTTATGCAGCCTGAGTTGAGCCACGTCTACCTTGGGGACTGCCAGGTAAGGAACCCCTCTGCCTGTCCTGCTCCAGAAAGCAAGTTCAGCAAGGCATCCTCACAGAGCACATCTGAGGGCCATTGCAAGTCTGGGCAGTTTTCCTCCCTGTGGTGTGTTAGGTGGCATCATGCACTGAACTACAGCAGCTCACCCGAGTAGCTTTGGTGCCAGATGTGCACATTCTCCAGCAGACAGGCCTGGGAGGTCTCACTGGCAGGAGTGTAGGCTTGAGCACTGAGCTGCCAACCTGGCACCATGGTCAACAGCAGCAGCTGCTGTTCTGCGCCTGCATGGTGATGGAGTGGCCAGCCTTTCTGGAAGGTTTCATGTGTGTGCTTCCACTCCTTGTGATGTTTCCCTTGTCCTGGCCTCCTCCTCCTCCTCCCCCCACATCCCTCTCTCATCTCTGCAGCTTGAGCTTCTGTTCTCTGGGTTGGCTGGGGCTCCTGTTTGCTGAAGGGGAGCACCAGGCAGCTCTGGATTGCTTAGTCTGGTGTTTCCCATCGTCTGCTGGAAAAGATGAGGAAGGGAGGAAAGCATGAAGCCCTGGCCAGGGGCTCCCTCCGCACACACAGCACTGTTGTAAAGTCTTTCTTGGCTGGATTTGGGATACAGGAGTCAGAGTGAGGGAGTGTGAAGATACAGCAGTGACTGCTACCATGACCTGGTAGGTCATGTGTCACGGTTGGGCTTGGTAATCTTGAAGATCATTTCAGGCCTAGATGGGTCTGGTCCTGATTATCATGAGACAAGTTCTTGAGTGGTCATAGAATTGTGGAATATCTGGAGTTGGAATGGGCCCAACTTGTTTTGCAAATTTTTGTATGAGAGATTAGATGAGGTGTGTGACTTAACAAGAACAGGAGAGCTTCAGGCAGAGGCCACCAGCACTGAATGAATAAATCAGCAGTCATGACAATCAACAGCAAATACCAAGGTCTGACAAAGAGCTTTCATAAAATCACAGAACATCCCGAGCTGGAAGGGACCCCAAGGATCACCGAGCCCAACTCTTTCCCCCAGCACCCCCAGCCCCAGTGTCAGAGCGGTGCCCAGCGCTCCCTGAGCTCCGGCATCGGGGCCGTGCCCACTGCCCTGGGCAGCCTGTGCCATGCCCACCGCCCTCTGGAGCACAGCCTTTCCCTCAGCCCCACCTGCCCTCCCCTGACAGCTCCATGCTGTTCCCTCAGCCCTGCTGCACAGACAGCAGAGCTCAGCGCTGCCCTCCGCTCCCTGGGAGAGCGGCAGCTGCCATCGGGCCTCCCCTCAGCTCCTCTGCGCTGAGCAAACGAAGATGAAGCAATGCAATTTGGTTGCTGCAGGGTCTCTCCTTGTGCCCTGAGCCATCTCTGGTGCTGGCAGGACCTTCCTGGCCCTTCAGTGTCACTTGAGCTCTCCTGCACCACCAAAGGGGTTTTGCATGGTAATGACTTTTGCATTATCGTGGGCCTTCTCTTAACTTTGGAGAAGTATTGTGTTGTACTTCAAGGCCATGGTGCAGGGAGCGCATGGCTCATCCTGACTTTACTTGACATCTGTCTGCTGTGTTCCCTTTAATGGGAGAGAAACAAAACAGCCTTGCTGTGTCAGACAGAAAGCCTTGCCTTCATAGGATCGTGGAATCACAGAATCATCTGGCTTGGGTAAGATCTTCAAGATGACCAAGTCCAGCTGTCCATCAGACCTACCGCATCCCATCTCTTAACCATGTTCCTTAGTGCCACATCCACACATGTCTTAAACAACTCTAGGGAGGGAGACTTGCCGCTTTCCTGGAAGCCTGTTCCAATTTGTAATGACGCCCAAATTAAGCCTCCCCTGGCACAATTTGAGACCATTTCTTCTCATCACTTGGGGCAAGAGACTGATGTTCTCCTTGCTGCAGCCTCCTTTCAGGCAGTTGTAGAGCAGTGACTTCTGCTGTTCCTTCTCCAGACCGAACAGCCCCGCTTCCCTCAGCCGCTGCCCATCACACTTGTGCTCCTGACCCCTCACAGCTCTGCTGCCCTTCTCTGCACACACTGCAGGCCCTCAGTGCCTTTCTTGCAGCAAAGAGCCCAGCACTGAGCGCAGCACCGAGGTGTGGCCTCCCCAGTGCCAGTGCAGAGGGACGGTCACCTTTCTAGTCTTATTAGCCATGCTATTTCTGATGCAGGCTTCTTGACCACCTGGGCACTCTGCTGGCTCCTGTTCAACCCATCCGGACCAGCTGTGTCTCCAACCTGCTGCACGCTGCTGGTAGCACGCGTCAGCCATAAATCAGCGTTCCTGAGGAGGCCAGGGAATTGCTGGAGGGCTCCGAGAGCGCCTGGGAGAGTCAGTTGGCAGCACCAGTGGGTGCAGTGAGCTCAGCGCTGGTGCTGAGTCACCCTCAAAGCATGTGTGCTCCTCACTGGGCTTGGCAACCCAGCCGACACAAGGTCTGCGCGGGAGCCTTTGGCTGACGGGCCGTTAAGGAGGGTTTAATTGAGCCAGCAGGATTTCCAGCTCCAACCGCCAGGCTTGCGGCCTTCTCCTCTTGCTTGCTGCTCTGTCTCGAGGGCTTGGTGGTATTGGCTCTGGCTTTAGCTTGAAGGTTGGGCAGCACCTGATGTACTTCTCCGCAGTGATCCTCTGCATTGCAGGGGCAGTGGGCTCGGAGATTTGTGCCTCTTGTTGCGAGAAGGCTAGCTGGGCTTGGGTGGCTGTGGGCCACCACACAGCCCTGTGCACTGCATCCTTTCCCCGGGGCTGCTCCCACCAGAGATGCCCACACATCCTCTTGTGACAGCTTCCAGGAGCATGGGCACAGCCCTGTGTGCTGGGCATGGTTCAGAGCGGTGTCAGCCTGCCCTCCAGATGGCTGGGGAGTTGTTCTGACCAAGGCCAGCTGTGCTGGTTCAGCAGCCCTAGCAAGTTGTGGGAGCCACCATAGCTGCTGGGATTCCCTGGCCCAGTCTAGCATCCCCACTGCAGGAGCAAGGTGCTGGGCATCCACCATCAAACCAAGACTGCTAATGAATCCCTTGGCCTTGGTGACCACCTGCTTAGCATGCAGGCTGTCCCACCAGACTGGGAGCAGCCCTGCTCTTTCTGAGAGTGAGGAGGAGCCTTCCAGAACAGCCCCATCATTCCATGGGTTCGGAGCGGTGATCCTGGTGCTGTTCTGGACCTCGCTCTCCACCACCACCCTGTCCTCAGCCATGTCGCTTTGGGTAGCTCTGCTTTTATCCTGCTGCCTGGAGGCCATGCAGGTAAGCTGGTCCTCATGCAGAACCTTTCTCTGGGTTGATACTGGGATGTTCTCCCACAGTGAATGTTTGAGCAGCTCCTGTTCCTGCTTCTGAACTGTGTGGGGTGGACCGCTCCCCTTCCCACGGCCAGCTGCCCCCAGCACAGTGCTGTGAGCACTGCCTCTATGTTCACTCCTTGACTGATTTACAGCTCTTGACCCCCTGGTGGCTTTGTTCTGCTTTCGTGCAATAACTGCTCAGAAATGTGGCTGTGCCATTCCCAAGGACGGGCCCTGGAAAGGCAGGGAGAGTTGCTGGCCACGGGGAAGAGAATCCCTGCAGCTCCCAGTCTCTCTGAACAGTGCTGGGAGGCTAATGGGAATTGCACTACATGATAGTTTATAGGGTTTTTTCTGCTTTTTTTTTTTTTTCCATAATTCTCAAGCTTGATTTGAAGGGCTGAGTTGGATTGTTGGTGTTTGCCCTGTGTGTGGAGGTTGGTGGGGAGAGATGCTGTGGTCCCCACCACAGAGCAGCTGAGGCTCGATGTTCTGCTGGGAGCCAAGATGCTCCCAAACAAGGGCCTGCATCTGCCGTGCATTGCAGGGCTCCTTCTGTGGGCCGTGATGTTCTGTGGTGGCCTGGGTCTGGTGCAAATGCAGTCTTGCATTGTCACACAGGGATGGAGGTGAGGACGGAGTGATCCAGCTCTGCAGTTTTCATCTGGGACCCAGGCCAAACTGTGGGATGTACTGTGAGATGAGCAGATGCTTCCAGCTGTTAGAAGATTGGGATGCCTCCGTGTGTACTTTGAACTTGGGTTGCTTTCCCTCTGGATCAGTAAATCCCACTTGGAAGACTGCATATCTGGGTGCTTTGCAACAGGGCTCTTGGAAGAATTCCTGGTCCCTTTTGGTTGCCAGGTGTGTGGCATGGCCAAAGGGACAATGAGAGAGTGTTTTCCTGCGTCCCTCATCTTGGCCTGCCCTTGGAGCTCCTGGTGCTGGAAGCCAGAGCCGCTCTAGCACAGCATCTCTTGGAAATGTGGGATTGGACCCGGCCAGCTGTGCTGGTGACTCACGTAGGCATAATCTTTTTCCCAGGCACGAGGCAAGATTTTCTTTTTACTTTAACTAGAGTGGGACACATTGTGGTTTTAAAAGGCTAACATGATGGGTGCCCAAAAGTTTTCCAGATGTTGAGCTTGCTCAGACCAGACCCGCCATGCTCGAAGCTCCTTGCCTGCATCAAACCATTTCCATCTGGCCTGGCGGGGGAGAGGGGTTTATTGCAACTCGACCCATTTGAGAGGCTTTCTCAACTGGAGCCTCTTGCAGAGAGGAACGTGCTGGCTGGAAATCATTTGGAGATGCAAATCTCTCTGGGTGTTTGGCTTGGCTGCTGTTTCTGCAGTATCTGCTAAGCAGTGGAATAGACTGTGCACGGAGCAGGCGCGCTCTGAGCGGCTGCTTTACATGGCTGTAGGGACCAACCCACCAGGCAGTGGAGTTGCTTGTGTTATTCAGCTGTAATGATTTTTTCTTGCCTTGCTGGTGCAAGTGAGTGTGCTGGCTCCATGGTTGAGACCAAGAGGGGATGAAAAGCTGCCCCGTGTGTCGTTCCGTGCCAAAAATCTGCATTTACAGGAGCGTGTTTGTAATGAACTGTGCCAGGAAACACATGGCTTGCTCGAGCCGTGAATGGGAGGTCTGTACGGGGCCCTGCGCACACTGAGAGCCTCGCCAGGACAAAGAGCAGATGCTGGCGTGCTGTTCTTGCTTGGTGGCAAGGCATTGCTGGCAGGAAAGAATGGCTGCTGGCAGTTTGGGGTGATGGACCTCCATGGGGGGGGGAGAGAGAAAAGGGTGGTTGTCCATGTCTGGATGGAGATTATTTGATCCTGAGTTTGGGGCTCCCATGCCTATCCCACATTGAATTCCCTGGGGCATGGGACTCAAGAGTGAGCCGCTCGGTGCTTTCTGCTGAGGTTGGGTGCTCTTTTCCTATGAAGGCTGCCTATGAGGGGTGCTGCCTGATGGCTGAGCCAGCGGTGTGCCCTGGAGCCAGAAGGGACAGCCATACCCTGGAGGCACCAGGCCCCATGCTGCCAACAGGTGAGGGGCCTGGCTGTCCCCTCTGCTGTGTCCTGCACAGCCTCACCGCCAGCACTGCCTGCGGTCTGGGTGCCGCAGTACAAAATAGACGTGCCCAGAAGTACCTCCTCTCTGCAGAAAAGTGCCCTTTGCGGTCACTGCAGGGTGCCCAGATCTTTCTGCAGTGTTTGAGGTCCTCTCTGCCAGGCGGCCATGCCCTGTGCCCTTGGAGGAGCTGGCTGGTTTTGCACCTGGCTCTTTCCATTGCATCCTGGTACCTTTGTTGTTGTTGTTGTTTTTGTTTTGGTTTGGTTTTTTGCCCTTTTCAGCTGAGCAGATGCGGAGCTTCCTGCTGATGGGAGAAGATAGTTCCCTTCTGGGGAGGATGCATGCAGTGTGTATGCCCTGGGTTTTGCTGCCCTGAGTGCTGCAGATGTATTGTAGTTCCTCTCATCCACATACCCAGTGTTAAAGGAGCTGGCTTGCACATGTGGCAGGGCCAAGGCAGGGTGAACTTTGCAGAATCACTCTGGCAGGCAAGGCTGCAGGATAGCACTGCTGTGGCCTAGCTGCAAGCTGCAGAAGCCCCACAGACCTTTCCAAACCAGGAGACCTTAAAACCTTTTTCTAATTTCTATTCCCATGCCTTTAGCATGTTTGGTGGCTAGCAGCTTTGGGATTACTCATATCCTTACGTCAGCCGTGGTGTCTCAAAAGCCAGCTAACCTAGGCTTTTGGGGGTCAAAAAGAATAATATGAGTCCTTTCCTTATTCCCTTGTGTCCTCAGCCCAGAGGTTGCCCAGCTCACTGATGTCAGGGTATGGGTGGCCCATGGTGGGGAGGGGTGTGGATGTCCCAAAGCGACGTGCAGCACCGCTGCCTGCTCCCAGCTCTGCTTCCCAGCGCGGCTGTAGGTGAGCTGCAGGCACGGCAGGGATCAGGGCTGTGCAGCAGCTGAGGGCTTTGTGGTCGAGGCTGCATTCCCCAGCGATGTCGTTAGACAGAGAGACAATGATCTTTTCGGATCGCTTCAAGATGCGGGCCCGCCAGGCGGGGCAGGGATTGTGCTGCCTGGCCTCCTCTGTTCGTGCAGAGCTGCAGCAGCCAGATGGGCTTGGAGGAACTTGGGAGGAGGGTGTAGGGGCCAAGTCTTGGGGACATCCCAAGCCCAAAAGGTGCATTGAGATCCGCTTGCTGGAAATTCAAGCCAGAAATGCAAATGTTTGCGTGAGGGTTTTTTTCTGGGAATCTGCCATTTGCAACCTTAAAGCGATGACATTAATTTTGAGCAGAGCGATAACTCAGTACATGAAGGGTGCTGTGTGCCTGGATCTGGATCCTTACTGTGAGAATGCACTCGGAGCTGAGATGTGGCGGAGCCTTCTCTTCTCTTCCCACTGGTGCCTGTCCCTCCCCTTTGTGCGGTCTGGGAATGCCACCAGGGGACCCAAAGGTACCAGTGCTGCTTTCCTGCACCATTCACTCAACCTCTGTCAGCTGCCTCACCTGGAAGCTTCCGCGGTTCCATTAAATATGCCTTGGGTGAAACTGCGCTGAGTGTTTGCAAGCGTGCTGAGTTTAAAACCACGTTTATCCAACTGGGCTGAAGCTTTCCTGAAGAGCTTTGTGCAACCACAGCTAAAACGATTTTAGGCCAGAAACATGTGTTGAGGGTTTCTTCCCCCAGCCGGGGATGGTTTGTGTCACATGCCTATGCAGCTCACTGGTGCTTGCCAGCGCGCGCATTTAGAAGAGCTGCTTGGCTGGGCCCAGCCACACCACGAGGGAAGGGCTCAGCTCTGCCTTGGGTTTGCTGAGCTGGCTTCCTGTGCACATAGTAGAAGTGGTGTTGCATGAGTATTTTTTCAGGTGGTGATGCTGCCCAGCCTGGATTAGCTTGTGAAGTCGCGTGCTGTGATGGAGACGTCTGATCAGACAGAGCGGAGCCAGTTCTGCCCTCCCCCAGGTGCTGCAGGAGCTCTCATCTGCCAGCTTGGGCCACTCTGGGGGACTCCAGCAGCTCAGCCCTATGACCAAGGCTGTGCCACACAGCGATGCTGAGGGCTCTGCTTCCCCTCTCCAAACACTGGGCTCTGCTTCTGTGAATTGAGAGTGTCCAATTCTGGGTTTCTGGTGTCTTCTACTTCCAAATGGCTGTACCACATCTAGCTGCTACCCTTAGAATCATTAAGATTGGAAAAGGCGTCTACAGTCAGCTAGTCCAACTGTTGCCCATATCCATGATGGCTGCTAAACCACATCTCATGTTTCCTTACAGCCCAAATCTCACTCATTGGGTTCCAGCTTATGCAGCCAGTGTTTCCACGGCACCTTGGATGCCACTGTCAGAACACAACACAGGTCTCTGGCTCTTACTGCGCTTTGATGCTTACTTATCCTGGTTTGCTTTGGCACGCGTACGTGATGAGGATGTTCATGGCACGGATCTCACGTGGTCTGAGCTGGTTGTGTCCATTTCTGAGGTTGGAAGACAAGAACACAAATGCTTCCTCCTAATCCACCAGGAGCCAGATCCCAGTGCCTCCTGATGCCTTATGAAATCCATGCTTCTAGTGTGGAGCTCGTACCGAGCTTGGTCCACGTTCCCTGTCCCTCTGCAGAGCTGTCCTGCTCGTGCAGAGCTGGGAGCGCATCACTCTGGCCACTTTCTTCCTCTCCTTCGTGAGAGAGCACTTCAAAGATGTTCAACATCTGTCTGGCTTGGCCTCTTTCCTCACAGAGCGCAGTGCTGGGAGCAGAGCCCTGCAGCTATCGGCGTGCGCTGAATTGCCCTTTGTCTGCTCGCCTCTCTGCGGCCAGCTGGTAACCAGAGCAGAGCGCCTGCATGGCTGGCTGCGGCCAGACGGCAGCCGGACAGCGGAACGCTGGTGCTGTCCCCAGCAGCCACACTGAGCGCTGTCTGCAGGTCCCCCAGGCACTGAGGCTTGTTGTTTGGAGGGAGGACGCTCAGATTTTCCAGCGCCGCTGGAAGCTGCAGCATGGGTTTGCTCACTCGTGTCTTTTTCTCAATGAGCTCCGGCTTCACAGCTGGGTGGGGCTCGGGGCTAGTGGCTTGCTTCCTCCCTGCAAAGAGATGCTTCCAGCCATCCAGAGCCACCCCGTGGCCGCTATCAGGCCTTGTGGTCAGCCACTGCAATTTCCAGTTTTGATTTCGGCTGGCAAGTGTAGATGCTGCATCCTCTGTGCTGTGCTCAAGCTGCTGTGTTCATTCCCTGTTCCAGAGCAGTTTTTTGCTAGGTAATATCTGAGTATGTGAGGTAGAGTCGTGGTCCTAAGGAGAGAGGGTTTGAGGAAAGCCTGGAAATAGTCCACGTGTTCTGCTCTGGGATGTTCCTGCTGCATGGTTAAGGCTTAGGGCATGTCCCAAAACAGCAGATCAGGAGGGATGCAAAGAAACACCTGAGCTGCCCAAAGAAGCTGCTTGCTGTCCAGCTTTTTGACAGCAGAGTCCCTAGTCTGGATGCTGTGAGATGCCTCTGTGTGCAGGCTGGACGTGCAGCAGCCTCAACTGGCAGCCCATGGAGCTGTGTTTGGCCCAAAGCAGCCCTCTCCGCATGGTTGCTGGGAGGTGGGAGCCTTAGAGCACCAAACCTCTTTGAATGTAGGTGTGGGAGTAGCCAAGATTGATGAGCTCTACAAGGGATTGTGCTTTGGAAGATGTTTCTCCTCATGCTCACTTTCATCTGTCTAGAGACCAGTGTGAGCAGCAGTGCTTCCCCACTGCTCTCTGCCCATCCATGTGCTCTAGGTGTGCCCTCCTTTCTCTGTCCTGCAGCGGTGGGGGCTCAGGCAGCGATCCGTTTTGCCAAGGAGCCGTACTCACAGGATGCCCTGCATGGCCGCAGTGCCATCCTCCGCTGTGAGGTGGAGGAGCCAGCCCACGTGGAATTTGAGTGGCTGCAGAACGGGCTCCCCATCCAGGACACGGAGCAGCGCTTCAAGGAAGGCAGCAACCTCCAGTTTGCTGCTGTCGACCGGCATCGGGATGCTGGGAGCTTCCAGTGCGTGGCGAGGAACGTGCAGACCGGGGAGGAGGCTCGCACAGCCAACGCGTCCTTCAATATCAAGTGTGAGCGTGGGGCAAGGGCACAGTGCTCTCTTGGGAGGGCGTGGGACTGGGAATGCCTGCTGGTGTGTGGGGTGATAGTTGGACAAGGACTGAGGAAGCACAGCATAGGCCAGGTAACTGGAGTACCAGGAAATGGTCTTGAGTTGCACCAGGGGAGGTTTAGATTGGATATCAGGAAGAATTTCTTCAGGAAAAGGGTGTCTAGGCATTGGAACAGCCTGTCAGGGAGGTGGTGGAGTCCCCATCCCTGGAGGTGTTTAAGAAGTGTGTGTATGGGGTACCTAGAGACATACATTGGCACTGTTAGGTTGGCGGTTGGACTTGATCTTAAAGGTCTTTTCCAACCTAACTGATTCCTCTCCAGCTCACACATCCGTCACGCCTTCTAGGCCCTTGCATCTTCTGATGTCTCCAAGGCTCTCAGAGATGCAGCCTTCCCCATTTGTACAGATGAAACGGGGGATGTTACAGCACCAAGCGTGTCTTGAGCGCTGCAGGTCCTTTCAGAGCCCACCTCAACCCTTAAGGAACAGCTACACAGGGCAGTGAGAGACATTTGCAGGGTGGTGTCCGTTTGCTCCACGTTGCCTGTTTTTACTGTGTTGGCACCCAGCTGGGCTCAAGAACCAGCCGTTTGAGGCTTCCTTTGATCATGCAGGGATCGAGACGGGCGGCGTGGTGCTGAAGCAGCCGAGCAGCGCAGCTGAGATCCAGCCCTCCTCCACGGTGGTGCTGCGGTGTCACATCGACGGCCACCCGCGGTAAGGGTTGCCTCCCGAGGAGCCCGGCCGGAGGTCCCCCCGCGCCTTCGCCGCACGCTCTTCCCCTCTCTCTGTCTCTCTCTCCTCCTCTCTCCTGCGAGGACGCAGTAGAGTCTAGGGAAGGCGAAAAGCAGGATTGAGCCTGCGGCCGAGCACCAGGGGAGAAGGCAAACGGCTTCCTCGGAGCCGCGTAGCGAGGAGCACAGTAAGGACGGGCTGTCACAGCCCGGTCGCTGCGCTGCTTGGTGTGCTGCGGTCACTCTCCGTCGCTTTCCGATCATGTCCCGTCCACTTGGCTGCATGTCTCATAGCTTCGTGTGTGTGTCGGGGCCAGCGGTGGGAGCGGAGAGCCAGGGAAAGGGCCATCTCTGGGCTGTCCTCTCCGCACACCCACTCGCCAGGGAGCCCAGCAGCCGCTCGGCGCCCACTCACCCTTTCGCCCCTGTCTCGCAGCCCCACGTGGCAGTGGTTTCGGGACGGCGCTCCGCTCCCCGACGGCCGCGGCACCTATTCTGTCAGCAGCAAGGAGCGGACCCTCACCCTGCGCAGCGCCAGCCCCGATGACAACGGTCTCTACTACTGCTGTGCCCGCAGCGCCGTTGGCTCCGTGTGCAGCCAGGACAACTTCACACTGAATATCATCGGTGAGTTGTGTCCCCAGTGCCCAGGCTGGGGGCTCTGTTTTGAGTTTCTTGAAGTGCAGAGGTAAGCTGCAGGCTGCTCTGCTTTTCTTACCCTCCGGTGGTCTCTGTTGCTGCAGATGAGAGCTTCCCCCAGGCGGTGATCGTCCCGCAGGACCTCATCGTGACCAAGAATGAAGAGGCCATGTTTGATTGCCAGTTTGCAGCCGTGCCCCCTCCCACGCAGGAGTGGCTCTTTGAAGACAGCCCCATCACCAACAGATCCAAGTAACAGGGACCCCGGTGATGTGGGCAGGGCTGGGAAGAGCGGGGAGGGGGCACCAGGTGTAAATGAGAGAGGCCAAACGTTGGCTATGCCCGAGGGCAAGTGTTCAACATCAGGCTGGCCACTGGAGTTGGTTTCTTAGCTTGGATGGCTTGGGTTTGTGTGGAGCCTTCATCAGCGTAAGACTTACAAAGTGGTTTGTCCTTGAAGAAATCTGTGAGGCTGTGAGTCTGAGATTCCTGTGTACGGTGATCCCCAGAACTGGAGATGTCTCCCAGCCACGAATGTTTGTGTGCAGTGATTCATGGAGCCAGCACCCCAGACACCCACTCAAGACAGTTCCCAGAGCCAGGGACACGTCCCTGTACCAGATACCCACAAGTGGTGTTCCCCAGACTCAGGGATGCTTCCCAACCTCCATCATACAGTTCAATGGGCTGATGGCTGTCTTGCAGCTCCAGCTGCCTGACTCCCAAGCCAGAAACGTTTGTGGGCCCCAAACACCCATGCGTACTGTGATACCTGCAGCCTAGGATGTCCTTGCAGCAGGTTGCCCATGCATTGTGATCCCCAAAGCATCTCCCAGCCCAGCCAGATTGCCTGTAATGGGGATCTTGGGTCAGAGATGTCTCAGAGGGACTGTGCCAGGCAAGTGGTGCCATCTGGAGCCACATGCCCCATGGCCTGGCAGCTCCTGGGCGCCACCTTGTGCCCCTTTTTCCCTTTCCTGGCTGAGCCATCTTTTGGAGCTGGCTCATTTTGGGGTGCATCTTTCTGGAACCCAGATCTGCTCCAAGGAAAAGACTTCTCTTAGCACATCTCCTTGATGAAGCATGCATCCCACTTCCTCCTTCATTCTGCTTCCCCTGCCTTGGTATGGCACAAAGGCCTCCCCGTTTGTTCTGTGGGCTGCTGTAGGACATCACGGGGCTTTGGCTCTACCCCACGTCCTGCAGAGACGCCTGCTGAGGTCTGCTTTTCCCCTCATGCCCAGGACAACTGTGTTTGCCAATGGCTCCCTGCTGATCACCCAGGTGAAGGCCCGCAGCACCGGTGTCTACAAGTGCATTGGCCATGGGCAGAAGGGGAAAGCTCTCGTGCTGAAGGCGACTCTGCGGCTGGCAGGTGAGGTCCTAGTGATGGGGTGGGCAGCAGGTCTCATAGCTGCACCATCCCTCTGGAACTGTGGGTTCGCATAGTAACAGGCCGGTAAGCTGGTACATATAGCTTGTGCACATTTTCCCTTGGCTGGTGGCTCCTGTGGAGACAGCGATGCTGGTGGGATGGCCACACTGCCCTGTTTGAACCCTGCTGTCTGTTGCTCCTCTCAGAGATCGAAGAGATGGCACCCTTCTCCCCGAAGGTGTTGACGGCGAACCAGGGGCACCGTGTGTCCTGTGCTGCCCCGCGGGGTGTACCCACACCCCAGGTCTGGTGGGAGAGAAACCAGGAGCGGGTCCCCTCTGCTGGCAGGGTGTACCAAGAGGCAGAGCAGCTCATTTTCACCAGCATCACCGAGGCAGATGCAGGGACCTATACGTGCCATGCTGCCAACAAGGCTGGAGAGAAGAAACAGGAGCTGAGCATCACCGTGGCTAGTAGGCAGCTTTCTGAGGAGGGCTGGGATCATTGGAAGGGGCTAAAGGGGTGGCTGGGGAGAGCTGGGGTGGGATGTGGCTTTCCTGCATGTCTCATGACTGTTTGCAAGCTGCCCATCCTGGCCAAGACGGTACTGGCTGGATGGAGGGGTGGTGAGTAGACCTGTGTGATCCCTTGCTTCCATGCCTAGCCGTACCCAAGTGGGTGGAGATGCCCAAGGACAGCCAGCTGGAGGAGAGCAAGCCAGGATACCTGCATTGCCTCAGCAAGGCTTCCCTGAAACCTACAGTCACCTGGTACCGCAACGGCGTTTCTATCTCCGAGGTGAGGTGACAGGGCAAACCTCCACTGCTGCTTTTCTTTTCATTGTGCTCAGGTCCAGAATGCCTGGTGCTGCTCCTGACTCTACCTCCATCCGCCTGGCACCTGGGAGCTCAGTGGGCTGTCCCTAGCCAGCCTTGTGCTCACGGGGTGGTGGTTGGAGAGATGAGTCTGAGCAGAACTGCCCCTATCTAGGACTTGGCATGGCCAAGCCCTGGATTGACAGAGTGCTACAGGCAGGATCTGAGCTCAGTGCTGATGACAGTATTGTTTCTGCCTCCCTACCCCATCTCTGGGCAGGACTCACGCTTTGAAATCTCAGAGAACGGAACGCTGCGCATCAACAACGTGGAGGTGTATGATGGGACTATGTACAAGTGTGTGAGCAGCACGCCGGCAGGCAGCATCGAAGGATACGCACGGGTACACGTGCTAGGTATGCTGGCAAGCACTTTGTGTCCATTCCATGCAGGGAGCTCTCTTGCCTGCAGGAGAGCCTTTGGTGCCTCCCGTGGCCAGGGCACCTAACAGCACTTCTGTCTCTTGCAGAGAAGTTAAAGTTCACCCCTCCACCCCAGCCACTGCAGTGCATGGAGTTCAACAAGGAGGTTACAGTGTCCTGCTCAGCCACTGGCCGGGAAAAACCCACCATCCAGTGGACTAAAACAGGTGAAGGGGACTTGGATGGGAATCTGTCTGTCTTTTATATGGATACCAGGAGCTCCTCAGAATGGTTGAGATGGGAAGGCACCTCTGGAGTCTGTTTGCTCCAGCTGTCTGCTCAAGCACTGCCACCTAGAACTGCTTGCCAAGGACCGTGTCCATATGGCTTCTGAACTTGTGTTGGCCTTCTTCAGATGGGGGGAAGCTGCTGTGTGGCACAGTGTATCACCTGTGGCTGCTACATCCCTCTTCTTGCCATCCTGCAGATGGGAGCAGCCTGCCATCCCATGTCAGCCACAGAGCTGGCATCTTGTCCTTCCACAAGGTGAGCAGGAGCGACTCAGGAAACTACACGTGCATTGCCTCCAACAACCCACAGGGTGAGATCCGTGCCACCGTGCAGCTGGTGGTGGCAGGTGAGGGTTCTTCAGCAAGCTTTCCTGCTCTTTTGGGGCTCCTGGGTGGCACTCGGGTAGGTGGCATGTTCCTCCAAGGGAGGAGATGTCTGGCCTGACCCCAAGCTCTGCCTCATGCTGCTTGAGTGTCTGGTTTGACAATGTTTTGATTACAACCCTAGAGGGCACGTGCCATGCTGCTGTGCTGCCCTCTTGCCCTCTTGCATGAGCTCAGTGTCGCTCCCAGGAGCTGACAGCCTCATGTCGGCCTCTCTGCCTCCAGTTTATGTCACCTTCAAGCTGGAACCGGAGCCCACAACTGTGTACCAGGGGCACACAGCCATGTTCCAGTGCCAGGCAGAGGGGGACCCTGTGCCACATATCCAGTGGAAAGGGAAGGACAAGATTTTGGATCCCAGCAAGCTTCTGCCCAGGTACACAGCCTCCATTCCAAATGGGACAGGATTCAGCTGTCTCTTGTCCCTAGCTAGAGGGGCACACAGTCAGTTGTCTCCATATGTGGGGGCTTGGGCTCTCCTAGCTTCAGCTAGTTGATTGTTCTTGGCATGGGATGCAGAACTGTTACAGCAGGGATATGTGCTGTCCTGGGGATACAAGGCTGCAGGTGCCCCAAGCCTGCCTCTGCCCTCTCATGTGTGCAAAGGGCTATGTGTGGTTGGCAGGATTCAGATCATGCCCAATGGCTCCCTGGTCATTTACGATGTCACCACCGAGGACTCTGGAAAATACACCTGTATTGCCGGCAACAGCTGCAACATCAAGCACCGCGAGGCCTTCCTCTATGTTGTAGGTGAGGGAGGTGCCCAGTGCTGGGACATGGCCTCCTGCCATCCCAGGCCCCACTGCAGGGGCTTTTCCTCTTTCCTCAGGAGGTTTTGGGAAATCCCTTTGTCCCCTCATGGCTTTGGTGCTCTCTGTCCCACAGACAAGCCAGCAGCAGAAGAAGATGAGGGACTCGGCAGCCACACGCCCTACAAAATGATCCAGACCATCGGGCTGTCAGTGGGAGCAGCTGTCGCCTACATTATTATCGTGCTGGGGCTGATGTTCTACTGCAAGAAGCGGAGGAAAGCCAAGAGGCTGAAGAAGCACCCTGAGGGCGAGGAGCCTGAGATGGAGTGTCTGAACGGTGAGGCCAACACCCTCGATGGTGGGGGCTTCCCTGGCAGCCCCATAGCCTTGAGGTGGAGCGGATGAGGATGAGCAGGGAGCTCCTGGGGCACAAGGGGCTGCTGCTCACCCTTAAGGTCTCTGGCTGTTGGTTTTGGCTGTGGCTGGTGGCGGGAAGCTTCTGCCAGGTGAGAAATAGGCCAGGAAAAGGTGCTCTTCTGTAAACCTGAACCCAAGATACCTCTGCAGCATCATTTTCACTTCCAAAAAGCTGCTTTAGTTCTTCCTTGGACATCACGTTTGTTCTTATGTCAGTGATCCCAGGGAGAACTTCTGAGTGATGGGGAGCAGTCGAGTTTGCTTCCTATGTAGTTCCCTGGACCTCTTCCTGCACCAGTTCTCCAGCATGCAGCCTCAGCCTCATCTTCTGGTGGTTGCTGTGAGGTCCTGGCAAAATATCACAGAGGGGTTTGTCAGCTGTTTTTCCTCTTGTATGGATACTTTGAAGTTGGAACCAAACCTCCAGAAGAGAAGTCTGGCTATGGAACCTTCTGAGAGCCAAGATGCTCCTCTGCAGTTCTGTGCTCTCCTGCTGTCCCCTCTGCAAGCTCTTCACATAGCCAACTTGCAGACAGCCCATCTGCCAGCAGACTCTGGCCATCATCCTCTTTCTTGGAAAGGATTTGTTTGAATCCTTTCTCTTGTTTCCTCAGTTTTGTTTTTGTTTTTGTTTTTTCTCTTTTTGCTTTGTTTTTTTATCTGTCTTTATTATATTTTTATGCCAGTAGGCTTTGCCTTTTCTTATTCTTGTCATGTAGGTTAGCTCTCCGAGAGTTGTGTCCTCAGAAGCTGTAGCTCTTGCTCAGCTGCACAGATGTCTGCATTCCTTTCTGGCACTTCCATAGCCTCCCTTGGAGAAGTGGTTTGTGTTTTCCTTATAATGGAATGACCCCCAGCATCACTTGTGCTGTGGTCTCTGGTTAGTGAGGTGACCTGAAGTATCTCAGCACACATCTGGTGATAAGACTTCCCTGCCTGGGTACCAGCTGGCTTTGCCAGTGCCAGACAGATTGAACCTTCCTGTGGATTTGCAGTGGCCACAGATTTGCTTCCCATGGATTTCCTGCAGATCGATGTATTCCTAACAAGTCGGTCATCTTTTGAGGTCACATCCCTGCATTGTACATCCTCTCCTCCTCCTCAGTGTCCCTCCATCTGACTGTACTGCTTTTTTGGGTGAATATGGAAGGGATTTGGGAGGTTAACCGTCCTGGAATCTGATGGGAGTATTGAATTTCCACATTGGCACGTGCTGATTTCTCCAGGAGGTGCTCACATGGTGCAGGTAGGTGGGCAAAGCAGGGCTTTATGCTTGGTTCCCCTCTAATACTTCTGGATGCCCAAATGAAACTTCATTCCTCTTGGTCCCTTTGTTATCATCTGTCTTGTCAGAGCTCTGTGAAGGATGGGGATGTCTGCTCATAAGCACTGCCACCCACTGGTGCTGTCTCTCAGCAGCAGAGTACTTGCTCTGCAGCCTTTGGTATTTTCTTGGCACGGTTGCAGTGGACTTGTATCATCCTCTTGGCTTCAGGCTTCTAGTCTTGAGACACCATCAGTCATTGCCGCAGACAGCAGAGGCTCAAACAGCCTGTAAGTGCTGGACTGCTGGCAATTAGCATAGAAGCAGGGTGAGCGCAAGTAGTACCGAGCTTTGATTTATTGGGCAGATGGTGTTTTTTTGCTGTGGCCTTCTGCAGCCTGTGGGTGAGGACAACGTGTCAGTAGCCACAGCTCTGAGGTTAACACATCTCAGTCTTCACGGCACTAGCCTGCCCATGGCAAAGCCAGATACGACCAGGTGTTTTCTTGTTGCTTGTCACTAGGCAAGCTGAGATGGAGTGTGCTCAACAATGCACGGTGATGCTGCACGCGTGTCACCTTAGCTCAGTGCTGTGCTCTGCACTTTACATTCAGCTCACAAAAGTTTTGCTTCCTAGTGCCTGGTCTGATCCAAGCAGTACATACACAAACCGTTTGCTTTCTACACCACATTCTCTCTGCTACAAACAGACCTCTCTGCTTTCTTATGGCAGTAATGATTTCTGCTGCTCACTCGCTTCTCTTTGTGTCAGGGAAATTTCTAGTGGGCTTCCTAATCAGAAAGTCTGCTGGTATTTGTATAATTGTAAGGACAGCACTCTCTAGCACTGCTTTAATCCAGGTGGTAAAAGAAGGTCCAAGCTGCCCTGGTGTGGCAGGTTCCAGGTTACGAGGAGGTGAGCGTCACAGGAGCAGGGGGGTCATGTCAGATGAACCCAATGGTATCTTGGATCTTAGAAGACAATGGGCAGGGCCCACTCCACCTCATGTCTGATCTGCTCTGGTTGTGCAGACTTCTATCCACAGGCAGTTGTGATGTAGCCACCCCTGGGGGATGTCAGCGTGGTGTGGGACAGACAAGGCCAGATGGGGCTAGTTGGCTCTGGGACCAAAGCCATTGCTCAGCGTCTGATTTCAGGGCTGGCAGAGATGTGGCCAGACGTGAGCCCACAGGGAGCAGCTGTGGGGAGGGCACTCTATGGGGCTGGGCAGCAGGCTAGGGTGCTTGAGGTGTCCAGAAGGGGCTGGTCCCCAGCGTGATGTTGCTGCCACAGCCTGGCAGGATGCTGAAGCCATACATCCCTTGCAGGTGGTACTTTGCTGCAGAATGGGCAGACGACAGCGGAGATCCAGGAGGAGGTGGCCTTGACCAACCTGGGCAGCAGCTCTGGGGCCAGCAAGCGGCACAGTGCCACTGACAAGATGCACTTCCCCCGTTCCAACCTGCAGACAATCACTACCTTGGGTATGCTGGGCCACCCTGTCCTGTTTCTCAGCAAGAAACTCCTGGTCTAACCTCCAGTGTGTGCCAGCCAGGAAACTCAGTGCACTGGGGCACAGAAGGTCCTACTGCTGCCGGGCTACCTGTCCTAATGCATGCTGTATCCCTCTGTGCTGCTCTGCACTTCCAGGTAGGGGGGAATTTGGTGAAGTCTTCCTGGCCAAGGCAAAAGGTGCAGAGGATGGTGAGGGTGAAGCGCTGGTGCTGGTGAAGAGCCTGCAGACAAGGGATGAGCAGCTGCAGCTGGACTTCAGGCGCGAGGCAGAGATGTTTGGCAAGCTGAACCACGCCAACGTGGTGCGGCTGCTGGGGCTGTGCCGTGAGGCTGAGCCGCACTACATGGTCCTGGAGTATGTGGACTTGGTAAGCAGTCCTGCCAGCTGCTCCTGAGCCTGATGGAGAGGTAGTGGAGACGGCATCCTCCATCTGGGTTGGTCTGGGCTGGTGTCACTGGGTGGGTGAGGCTGAGGAGGCAAGGCTGAGTTTACAGGTTGCCCAGAGAGTTGTGGGTGCCCCATCCCTGGAGGTACCGGAGGCCAGGGTGGATGGGGCCTGGGCAGTCTGAGCTGGTGGGGGGCAGCCAGCCCACGATGAGGGATGGGTGATTCTATGAATGTCAGTGTTTCCAGCATCTGGAAGTGTCCCAAGGGGTTGGGGCTCTGGTACGAAGGCTGGAGGGCACCTTTTTCCTAATTTCTTGGTTACGTCTGAAATGCAGCAGAGGAAGTGAAGCTTTGGGACCCTCCACTGCAGAATGGTTGCAAATGTGGATTGCTGTTAGGGGGGACTGGAGCTGGTGAGATAGGAAGCCCTTTGGGGCATGGATGACCTTCTGGAAGCACAGACCTGCTTGCTGTGACCTTAGCCCTTAGGGAGATACTAGCTTGCCATGGGGCCATGAGGGCCATGGCCAATGAAACAAGGCTCCTTGTGGGCTCACCATGTCTAGACACTATGGGGACCAATCAGCGTTGATAGAGCATTGCCTCTGAGCTTCCGTCTATCTCCTAGGGGGACCTGAAGCAGTTCCTGAGAATCTCCAAGAGTAAGGATGAGTCCCTGAAGCCACAGCCCCTCAGCACCAAACACAAGGTGAGCGTGTGGCTTTGAAAGCACCACAGCGCCGGGGCTGCTGGGGAGGGCTGCCAGTGCCAACGTCTCGCTGGGGCCAGGTGTCTCTCTGCACGCAGGTGGCCCTGGGGATGGAGCACCTCTCCAACGGCAGGTTCGTGCACCGGGACTTGGCGGCCAGGAACTGCCTGGTGAGCGCCCAGAGGCAGGTCAAGGTCTCAGCCCTGAGTCTCAGCAAGGACGTGTACAACAGGTCAGCCGGGATCCTGGTGGGGGGCGAGGGAACGGCGTGGTGCCCGTCTCACTCACCACCTGTAACTGTCCTGCCTGCAGCGAGTACTACCACTTCCGCCAGGCCTGGATCCCGCTGCGCTGGATGCCGCCCGAAGCCGTGCTGGAGGACGAGTTCTCCACCAAGTCAGACGTGTGGTCCTTCGGGGTGCTCATGTGGGAGGTGTTCACGCAGGGGGAGATGCCGTACACCCCGCTGGCGGATGATGAGGTCCTAGCGGGTATGTGGTGCCTTGTGCATTCTGGCCTCCATCCTTTTCTTGGGGCCAGCCAGGCCGTGTGATGGGCACAGGGCTGAGAGCCCGCATGGTGGACGCTCCTCGCTCCCCATGGAGGAGATCGTGCCTCCTCCCAACATTCCCTTGGCTTTTGCTTCTTTGCCAGGTCTGCAGTCAGGAAAGACGAAGCTCGCACAGCCCGAGGGCTGCCCTTCACGCCTCGCCAAGCTGATGCAGCGCTGCTGGGCACCCAGCCCCAAGGACCGACCCTCCTTCAGCGAGCTCGCAGCCGCCCTCGGGGACAGCCCAGCTGACAGCAAAGCCTGAGCACCTTGCTGGGGAAGGATGCGGCGGGGCGGGCGGGGGCTCTGCGGCTGCCCCCAGTGCTCCCGCAGCCTTCGCTGAGCCTGACCCCAACACACGGCACCAGCGGCTGCTGGACTCAAAGCACAAGCCAGTGTACTCCCCCCACACACCCCCTCTCCTCCACGGGTCCAAAAAGCCCGCGGGCTGCTGGCACCGGGCTCTCCCTCCCCGCTCGCCACGTGCATATCTGTCCGTCCGTCTGTGCTAGGCATGCCTGCGGGCATGGGCCCGCCATCAGGAACACGAAGTGCCTGGCATATGAAGGAGACGCTCCACCACCTTTCCCCACATCCCTTCCCCGTGCCTTTTTTTGTACGACTCCTGGGGGCAGCGCTCTCCTCCTCCTCCCCCCTCCCTGGCGCGCTGCCTCCTCCCCACCATAGTATTTCTGTTACTGGAACGCAGCCTAGAGTGGGTTAGTTTGTTTGCTTGAGCGGAGGGTACCGCAGCCAAGAATGGTTGGGTTTTGTTGGGTTTATATGTGCTGCTCTCAATAAAGAAGGCTTTTTTTTTTTTTTTTTTTTTTCCCCCCTCTCTTTTTTTGGTGTCTTTGGTGGCACTGCTGTCAGTGCCTGCTTGATTTTTCTTCCTGGGGTCAGGAACCCAGGTGTGGGGGAGACTCCTGCCATTACATCTTGTGCATCTCTTGGCAAGGAGAAGCCCTGTGCTGGGGCAGTCCCTGCAGCATGACAGATGTGTCCCCTGTGCATGGCAGTGAGGGTTTGGGACAGTCCCAGAGAAGCTGTGAGCTCTCCAACACCAGAGATGCTCAGGCCTGGACTGGATGGGCCCTGAGCAACCTGCTTGAAGTTGGCAATGCTTTGACCATCAATGAAGCAGCAGTGTCTGGGATCCCCTGTAGGCTGGGGGGAAGGCTCATGTGGAGCATGAGAAGGGTTCGCTTCTGGAAATCTGCTAGAATCATGTAGGTTGTAAAAGACCTTCATAATCATCACGTCTAACCATTAACCTGACCTACTGCATCCCGCTACACGCCAAAGCCTGGGGAGCTGAGGTGTGGCTGCGGCCAGCTGAGGGAGTCTGGCAGTCAGCACCCCGACCCCTTGCTGCCTCCACAGCTCCTCCAAATGGCCTGACTGCAGCTGCTGGCACTGAGCACATCAGCAGGAGCCGTTGTGGCTGGAGCGCTCAGGATGTGCCCTTACTTCCCCCTTGGTGCCCTCTCCGGTGGATCACAGCAGAGCCTGCATGTCAGACCCATTGAGCACTCCTTTGGTGTGCATCCTGCCTTGCTGCCCTGTTAAGACACGAGCAGTTGGAGCTATGGGAAGCAATGTCAGAATAGGGTGCTCAGCCTCACCCCGATACACTGTGAGGGCTCCAGTGCCTGCCCACCACGTGTGTATGGGAAGGCACCAGAGCTAGGACAAAATCCAGACCCAGAGGGTGCAGAAAGATTGGGGGCTGGGGTTGTGTATTTTTGGGAGTGATGTCATGAAAAAGCTCTGTATCCTCGGGGACAAGGCAGATGTTGGCCAAACTAATTGGAAACAGAGGGCTGAACAAATAGGGCCCTAGCTAAACACGGCATAGGGGAGTGGGCTGTTGGAGCATCCCACTCCAGCCCCTGCTGGAGGAGAGGACTTGGACAGCTGACAGGGATGGGGTCCCATTGCCCAAACCCAAATGGAAGGAACATAGAGCCTTGGGAAAGGAAGACAGCCTGCTATACCCAGGGCTGGAGAGAAGCAAGGGGCCTCCTAACAGCCCCAACCCCAAACATGTATGGCACAGAATGAGGTGCAAGCAACAGGCACACGTTGTCCCAGCTGCCAACTGCCTGCAGCATGAGGATCTCCGAGCCCTCAGTCTCCATGTGCCCTTGAGAGCTGTTATTGCTGCAATGTTCCCCAGCTGCCCTCAGCCCCTGCATGCCCAGAGATCCATGGGCAGTGCCATGGGGCACAGGCCCACCCCACTGTTCTGTTCTCTCAGCTTTCTTCTGCTGCCCCGTGGTGCTTGGGTGGGTATGTTAAGACCCTGTGGGGAACCAGTGGGGCCAAATTGCTCAAAGCAGCCTCACCTGGGACCTCCCACCCAGGGGAGTGGCCCAGGAGGTGCACTTAAGCTCAAGCAAGGCTGCTAGGCTTCCTTTGGTCTACTGTGTAGGTACTGCTGATTTAGCTTGGCTGCCAGCACATGTTGTAGCTCTCTTATCCAGCCTGGCTCTGAGCCTATCTCCTGGTGGGTACGCAAGCAGCTGTAGGAGGACTGTGCCCAGCACCTGGCTTACCCTGCTCTTGTCAGGTACTGTGGGTCTGCTATGGAGGGCTTTGCCTGATTTGTGTCTCCCTGTCATTCCCAATTAGAGAGGCCAAGGAGGGGGCTGCTATTGCCACCCCAACCCACCCACAGCGCAGATGTCTCTGAGCACATCCCCAAGACCAGGGCTGAGGCCTCTGAGGGGCTCACCCCTCAGCCCAAGAGCTCCAGGCCTGAAGAGTGGTGTGAAGGAAACCCCAGTCCTGGTGCATGTGGTGTCTGCACACCCGTGCTGGGCAGGGAACCTGTCTGCCACATAATGGTACAGAGGAGCAGCAGCCCTTCTTGGGCCACCTGTACCAGGTGTGGCCAGCGTTGGGCCCCGGGGCAGGGCAGCCAGGGCATGTGATGGGAAGCATGTGAGCCCCAGCGCCCTGTGGGAGCTATAAATGGCATGTGTGCTCACTGGAGGAGCACGGCTGGGGGGAAGCCAAGGGGGGGTGTTTGTTTCGGCTGCCACACTGCTCTGGAGGAGGCTGTACCCAGAGAGGGGCAGGCGACTCTGAGGGCTGGGGGTGAGCGCAGAGACCCCTGTGCCACAAGGCCTGCGGGCAGCATGGCAGCCCTGTGGCTGGGCTGGGGATGGACTAGATGAGCTCCTGCAGCTGTCTGAGCATCCAGCTGGATGTCCTGCATGGAGGCAGCTAGCTCCCATCCCTCCTCCCGGGGTGGCAGAGGTGGCTGTATGCTGTCCTGCAGAGCCCTTTGCTGGTACAGTGTTTTGGCACCCTGTGTGTATGCTCGTGTGGCCTAGAGCCTCCCTCTGCCTCAATGGCTCTCCCTGACTCTGAGCGGAGGAAGGGAAGTGCTCTGCAAAGCGTGTAGTTGGAGGCTTGGCCTCGCTCTGCGGTCCCTCCGAGGACAGTAACTCCTCGGTACGGGGGCAGGGAAGGCGGAGGGGGGCGATGCGAAGCGCATTCCCCTCTCTCCCACCCCGCGCAGCCCGCCCCGTCCATGCTGCGCGCGGCCCCTTTAAGAGCTCCGTGCATGTTTCAATCCGCGGGTGACGCGCAAGCGGTCGGAACGTATGCAAATCGGCCGCCGGGCGGCGGCCAATGGGCGGCGGCGCCGGGCTGCCGGCGGCCAATAGCGCGGCGCCTCCCGACGGGGCGCCGGCTCGCCCCATATAAGGAGCGGCTTCTCCATAAAAGGCAACATTGTATCGCTTTATATGGGGGCGGCGCGGCGCGGCGGGGGCGGCGGAGCGGGGCCGTGAGCGCGGAGCGGGGCCATGGCGGGGCCGGCCTGACCCGGCCCGGCCCGACGCGACCCGCCGCGATGTTGCCGAGCCAGGCCGGGGCCGGGAACGGCGCCGCCGCCGCGCTGGCCCGCGGCGCGGGGCTGGGCCGCTCGCCGGTGCCGCGCGGGGCGAACGGCGGCGGCGGGGCGGCGGCGGGGCCGCCCGGGGCCCGGCTGGAGCGGGAGGCGCTGTACAGCGGCAGCGAGGGCGACTCGGAGTCGGCGGAGGAGGAGGAGCTGGGCGGAGAGCGGCGCGGCCTCAAGCGCGGCCTGGCCGAGGCGGCGGCGGCGGCTGCGGCGGCGGCGGTGGCGGTACCCGCGGCGGGAGGAGCGGCGGCGGCCACGGCGGCGTTCGGGAGCGGCGGAGCGGGCGGCGGGGCGGTGAGCGGCGCCAAGCCCGGCAAGAAGACGCGGGGCCGGGTGAAGATCAAGATGGAGTTCATCGACAACAAGCTGCGGCGCTACACCACCTTCAGCAAGAGGAAGACCGGCATCATGAAGAAGGTGCGGCCCCGGGGCACCGGGAGCGGCCCGGAAGCGCGGGGCGGGGGGCGGATGCGGGGGAGCGCGGGGCCGGGGGGGGGAGCGGAGCGGGGCGCGGGGAGGAGGGAGCGCCCGCCCGCCCGCAGCATCCCCCACGGACGGGTCCCCGCGCGGCCGTGACGCCCCGTGCCGCCCCGCAGGCCTACGAGCTGTCGACGTTGACGGGCACCCAGGTGCTGCTGCTGGTGGCCAGCGAGACGGGCCATGTGTACACCTTCGCCACCCGCAAGCTGCAGCCCATGATCACCAGCGAGACGGGCAAGGCGCTCATCCAGACGTGCCTCAACTCCCCCGACTCGCCGCCGCGCTCCGACCCCACCACCGACCAGCGCATGAGTGCCACGGGCTTCGAGGAGACCGACCTCACCTACCAGGTGTCCGAGTCGGACAGCAGCGGGGAGACCAAGGTGAGGCCCCGCTGGGGGCTGGGCTCCCTCCCGCGCCGCTCGGCCCCCGGCCGCCTCTGGGCGCTGTTATCTCTCCCCGGGCGTCTCCATGCGCTCGCACTCATTGATAAAAATTTGATTCTGCCTCCATGGCCTTATAAGGCCTGGTTTCCCTCGCCAGAGTCCCTGGCAGGGCCCCTCACATTCCTTATAAGCTGCAGCTGTCTCTTGCTTTGGTGCTGTTTTGGAAGGGGGCAGGGAGGACATGAGGAATGGAAACACTTGGCCGGACCGAGTGTTCCTGCTCTCTGCCTGGTGGCCTGCTTCTGGGAAGCCCCGGGGCAGGGCAGCTCGATGTGCCCTGATGCAGCTCCTCGAGGGGCTCCAGTGGTTGAGCACACAGATGCTCAGAGATGTGCACAGAGCCAGGGCTGTGCTGCGGCTCCCTGGGTCCACTTGGGCGCCATGAGCTCCGCTGTACCCGTTCCAGCAGGATGAACAGCGACATTCTGCTCCTCCAGCTAGCTTTGTCCTGTGCATGTATGTATCCCAGCCTTGCCCTGTGGAGGCTACTCAGTGTGCAACAGAACCCAGTGAGGGTGCTTGAGAACCCTATGCTGTTGGTGTAACCCTAAAGACTGAGCACAAACCTAGCTTGGTGCCTTGGGGATCCTCATGCGTGTTTGCATCCCACATCACCTCTGGTCGTGGTGCTGCTGGGTACTTGAGGAAGGGATTTCTGCTCTCCCTCTATGTGTGCTGCTCAGCCCCATAAATACCACTGAGGACAAAATATTTGCTAGGGATCCCAGAGGAAGTGTGATGGGAATAAGGTGCTGTGGGCTGGGTGCCCCTGAACCAGGGCTGGGCCCTGGAAGGCTTCCCATTGATGGGAACCCAGCTGCCCCAGGCTGGCGTGACTCCCTTGGGTGCTTGATGGGAGCTCTGCCAGCCCTTCCCAGCAGGCGTGGGGCAGGAAGGGCTGCGCGTGCCACTGACTTGTCCCTGGTGCAGGGCTTGTTCACACAGAGTCCTTTAAGGTTTCCG